ATATTGGCATGAGGGGCCTCCTGGATGTCCGGTCAGAGATGGCCAGGGGGCCAAGGACATATGAGAGGCAGCTGAGAGTTACTGGGTGAGCTGGCTCACACCTGTAATCCCAGCACTTTGGGAGACTGAGGTGGGCGGATCACCTGAGGTCAGGAGTTCGAGACCAGCCTGGCCAACATGGTGAAACTCTGTCTCTACTAAAAATACAAAAATCAGTCGGGCATGGTGGCGGGCGCCTGTAATCCCAGCTATTCGGGAGGGTGAGGCACGAGAATCACTTGAATCTAGGAGGTGGAGGTTGCAGTGAGTCAAGATCGCGCCACTGCACTCCAGCCTGGGTGACAGAGCCAGACTCTGTCTCAAAAACAACAACAACAACAACAACAACAACAACAAGGCAGCTGACAGGAGGGATAAGGGTGATTAGTCCATATCAGAGCTGGCTGAGGCTGGTGCCCAGGGATAGGGGAGCTGAGTGGGTGCAGGCCCAGAAAGTGAGCAATTGCCAGTGACACGGGGTGGAGGGACAGGTGGAGGAGGAGTTGTGAGCTCGGCTGCACAGGACATTACTCCAAATGGGGCTGAGGAGCAAGGGGGACCCCCACACTCCCCACCTCCCAATGCTGAGGCATGTAGGTAGAGGGCTACAGGAAGCCTCAGGAGGGCTTCAGGGAGGAGGTGTTCTCAAGGAAGAGGCAGGAGGGTGGTGAAGGGGACATTTGGGGGCCACCCCTTCTCCAGCTGGCAAAATTGCCCTGTCCCCGCTGGGTGCGGTGGCTCATGCCTATAATCCCAGTACTTTGGGAGGCTGAGGTGGGAGGATCACTTGAGGTCAGGAGTTTGAGACCAGCTTGGGCCACACGGTGAAACCCCCACCCCCGTCTCTACTAAAAATACAAAAATTAGCTGGGCGAGGTGGTGCACTCCTGTAATCCCAGCTACTTAGGAGGCTGAGAGAGGAGAATCACTTGAACCCAGGAGGCGGAGGTTGCAGTGAGCTGAGATTGTGCCATTGCACTCCAGCCTGGGCGACAGAGCGAGACCCCATCTCCAAAAAAAAAAATTTGCCCTGTCCCCTGGGACTCAGAGGTCAGCCCCTGCAGAGTCCCCTCTGCACACTACCAGCCCCACTCCAGCCTCGGCAGCCCTCTGTCTGGGCAGGACTTTGTAGCCCTTTCTCCAGTCTGGAGACCAGAAGGTCAGGAAAGGAGGCCAGGCATGGTGGCTTATGCTTGTAATTTCAGCACTTTGGGAGGCCAAGGTGGGAGCATCTCTTGAGCTCAGGAGTTCCAAACCAGCCTGGGCAACATGGCGAGACCCCATCTCTATAAAAAATTAAAAAAATTAGCCGGGTGGTGGCACGCACCTGTAATCCCAGCCACTTGGGAGGCTGAGGTGGGAGGATTGCTTGAGCCCAGGGGTTCAAGGTCGCTGTGAGCTATGATTGTGCCACTGTACTCAAGCCTGGGTGACAGAGCAAGACCCTGTCTCTACAAATAAAAAATAAAATAAAGAAAGTTGGCCGGGCGCGGTGGCTCAAGCCTGTAATCCCAGCACTTTGGGAGGCCGAGATGGGCGGATCACGAGGTCAGGAGATCGAGACCATCCTGGCAAACACGGTGAAACCCCGTCTCTACTAAAAAATACAAAAAACTAGCCGGGCATGGTGGCGGGTGCCTGTAGTCCCAGCTACTTCGGGAGGCTGAGGCAGGAGAATGGCGTAAATCCGGGAGGCGGAGCTTGCAGTGAGCTGAGATCCGGCCACTGCACTCCAGCCTGGGTGACAGAGCGAGACTCCGTCTCAAAAAAAAAAAAAAAAAAAAAAAAAGAAAGTTAGTTAGGTGCTGTAGTACCTGTAATCCCAGCACTTTGGGAGGCCGAGGTGGGAGGATTGCCTGAGCCCAGGAGTTCAAGGCTACAGTGAGCTATGAAGGCACCACCATACCCCAGCCAGGGCAACAGAACAAGACCCCATCTCTAAAAAAGGAAAGAAGAAAAAAAGAAAAAAAAAGAAAGAAATAAAGAAAAAAAAGAACAGGAAGGATCTAATTCCACTGGATCAGCACGAAGGCGGCCTGTGCCTCTGTATGTCTATTTGCCTTCTCTGTCCTGCTGTGACCCCGCAGGCTGGCCTCCAGGGACTGCACCACTGAGACCCCACACTCTCTTGCTTCTGGTGAGGTGTGGCTAGTGGAGGGACTGGCATAAGATCAGGGGGCGGGAAGACAGAGCCCTGTTCCCTCCGGTGGCTTCATCCTTTCACCTACAGCCCCTGCTCCTGCAGGGCCCCTCACCCATAGCTACTGCCTGCTGGTCCTGGAAACGTCCCTCCCTCCCTCCCATCAGCAATCAGACCCAGGAGTGCTCAGGGCCCCATTAGAGCCAAGTCCCAGGTCACCCTCTCTTGTCCATTCCCCTAATGCTGCCCACACCTTTGTAAACGCTCTCAATTGCCCTGTGAGACAGCGTACCATCTGTTTCCTGCCAGGACCAGACCCATACAGGGTGTGGCAAATGTTTGTGAAATGCAGGGTCTTAGAGTTCACCCATTTCAACCTTCCCTTTTAAAAATGTTTCATTTTAGAGACAGGGTTTTGCTCTGTCACCGAGGCTGGTGTCCAGGGGTGCCATCATAGCTCACTGCAGCCTCCAACTCCTGGGATCAAGCGATCCTTCCACCTCAGCCTCCAGAGTAGCTGGGTCTACAGGTTCATACCACCACGCCTGCCTAATTTTTGTTTTGTTTTGTTTTGAGACAGAGTTTTGCTCTCTGTCACCCAGGCTGGAGTGCAATGGCACAATCTCGGCTTACTGAAACCTCCTTCACCTGGGTTCAAGTGATTCTCCTGCCTCAGCCTCCCCAGTAGCTGGGATTACAGGCATGCGCCACCATGCCTGGCTAATTTTTGTTTTTTTTGTAGACATGGGGTTTCACCATGTTGGCCAGGCTGGTCTTGAACTCTTGGCCTCAGGTGATCCTCCTGCCTCTGCCTCCCAAAATGCTGCGATTACAGGTGTGAGCCACCACGCCTGGCCTTAACCACCATGCCCAGCCTTAATTTTTGTATTTATATTTTGTAGAGATGGGGTGTTGCTATGTTGCCCAGGCTGGACTTGAACTCTTGGCCTCAAGAAATCCTTCCGCCTCGGCCTCCCAAAGCACTAGGATTAGAGGTGTGAGCCACCTACACCTGGCCTAACCATTGCTTTTTATGTAAGGGGAAACTGAGGCCCAGAGAGGGTGAGTGATCTGTCTTGGGTCACCCAGCCCCAGGGTTGGGGCTCATAGCTGTTCTGAAAAGGTTCTGGAGAGGCCAGGGCTTATCTCACAGAGACTGGCAGCCTGTCTGCCCCATCCCCGGCCTGCCTCTCCCAGCCTGGTAGGTTCAAGATCATTTGAGCGTTTCCTCCACAGCAGGAGCCGGATGCATCTGCTCCAACTAATAATCCCATTAGGGCCATTTGCGCCTCCTAGGGGCAGGCGCCTGGGAACCCAGCCAGCGCCCTCCTCCCTGACCTCTTGCCCCAGAGGGTGGGGCCCCTCCACATGGCACAGGGTGTCTTCCGGCCTCCTCTCCATCCCTCACCCTCCCCAACCTACCCATCAGCGACACGTTGCTCCTCCGGCCTGGCACCCTTCCAAGGTCCACCTGGAAGTGTCCTGCTCCTTCTTCAAAGCCACCCCTCCCCAAGATGCTGCCTCTGAAGCTCAAACAGTCCATCTCCCTGACAACTGTGTCCTCTCCTTCTCTCGCGTGTGGTGGTATCGCTGTCCTCCCCCTACAGCAGTGGGCACCTTGAGGGTAGAATGTTGCCTCGGGCATCTCTGGCCCCTGGGATCCGAGCACTGAGTGGGAATCCTGATAATAAATGTTGCATGATAAATAGGCACAGTGACTCACGCCTGTAATCCCAGCAGCAGGATCACTTGAGACCAGGAGTTCGAGACCAACCTGGGCAACACAGTGAGACCCTGTCTCTACAAAAATTTAAAAAATTAGCCAGGCATGGTGCCATGTACCTGTAGTCCAAACTACTCAGGAGGCTGAGGCGGGAGGATCACTTGCACCCAGGAGTTTGAGGCTGCAATGAGCTATGATCACACAACTGTTCTTTCCAGCCTGGGCAACAGAGTGAGATTCTACAAAAAAATTAATGCCTACAAAAAAATTAAAAATTAGTTGGGTGTAGTGTCATGCGTCTGTAGTCCCAGCTACTCTCAGGAGGCTGAGGCGGATCACTCGAGCCCAGGAATTAGAGACTGCAGTGAGCTATGATGGCGCCACCGCACTCCAGCCTGGGCTACAAGGCGAAACTCCATCTCAAAAAAAAAAAAAAGGAAGAAGAAGAAGCAGCAGCTGCGCCTTTTGCCTTTTGTGTACTCCAGGAAAGGACTGGAGGAAGTGGACGCAGAGGGCGTAAGTCCTCCAGCCAGCAGGGAGCAGGCTGGGGAGAGGGGCCACAGGGAGGACGCTCGGGTAGAAAGACAGCAAGTGCCAGCCATGCTGCCCAGTGGCCTTTGGGTACCAGAGGGCTGTCTGGGCAGGACAAGAGGAGCACCTATCTCAGGTCCACAGTCGGCCACCAAGCTCAGCTAATTTTTTTTCTTTTTTGTAGAGATGGGGTTTCACCATGTTGCCCAGGTTGGTCTTGAACTCCTGGGCTCAAGTGATCCTCTTGTCTCAGCCTCCCAAAGTGCTGGGATTACAGGCCTGAGCCATTGCGACCAGCCTTGGGTCCACAGTCTTCACAGTTCCCAAGGCACGTTCATCTTGGTTTAGTCTTACTGTGGCCTTGTGGGTTCAGGGTTACCATCCTCATTTTACAGATAGGGACAGTGAGGCTGGCAGAGAGGCCCGTCCTGCCCCAGGTGACAACTGCCCTAGGATCCTGAGCCTCGCCCCGGTCCTACATGCCCTTGGGGACCTCCCCAGGAGGAGGAGCTAGGGGCAGTGGTGCAGAAAGATTGCCCAGGTGTACGATGTCACAGGCAGGCAGGGGGATGTTGGGGGCATTTATTTCTGATAGAGACTGGCACAAGCTTTGGGTTAAGGACACTCACCCCCCACCCTCATCTAGAAACAATCTCTCTTGCCGGGCGCGGTGGCTCACGCCTGTAATCCCAGCACTTTGGGAGGCCAAGGCGGGCGGATCACAAGGTCAAGAGATCGAGGCCATTCTGGCCAACATGGTGAAACCCCATCTCTGCCAAAAATGCAAAAATGAGCTGGGCGTGGTGGCGCATGCCTGTAGTCCCAGCTACTCGGGAGGCTGAGGCAGGAGAATCGCTTGAACCCGGGAGGCAGAGAGCCGAGATCGTGCCAGCCTGGTGACAGAGTGAGACTCGTCTCAAAAAAAAAAAAAAAAAAAAAAAAGTAAAGAAAAGAAACGATCTCTCTTGGGGTCCAGAAGCTTCAGGGCATGTCCCAGCCCAGGCTCTGCAGCCTGGGCCAGGGAGGAGGTGGAGGGACACATGGACCCCCCTGAAATCCCTCAGGAAGCCCCCTCAGCAGGAGTGCTGAACGTGTGGTGCGTGGTGTATCTTCTCACACTCCCTCTCTCCTCTGGGCCTGATAGCGAAGTGCTCCTGCAGCTGTTGAAGCTTGGGAGGGGAGGAGAGAGGGAGAGATAATGGATGTTGAAGAAAGGCGCTGGCGGAGATCCCACACCCATTGGCCAGCATGCTCCGACCCATCACAAAGGGGAAACTGAGACTCCACTGGCCAGGCGGAATTAACCAAAGGGACTGAGGTGATTCCTCCAAACCTCACAAATCTAGCTCATCGCTCCTGCCCCTCACCACTCTCCCCCTCCACCCTCCACACCCCAGGATCCCGCTCAAACATTATCCGTCTGTCTCCCTTGATCAAAACCCACTACTGGCTCCCACAGGCTGCAGGATACAGCCCAGTTCCTCAGCTGGGCCCCTGGGGCCCCTGGCCTGGCCTGGCTGCCTGCACCCCTCCTGCCCCCTTCTTAGAGTCACCGCCTCCCCCCCTCCTCCCCAAATCCCACCAGGGCTAGGTCTCCCCTTTTCTCTAGGAAGCCTTGTGGACACCCTCCGTGCCCCAGGCTCAGGCACCTGAGCTCTGTATGACACCCTGACACCCTTTTTTTTTTTAGATGGAGTCTCACTCTGGCGCCTAGGTTGGAGTGCAGTGATGCAATCTCTCAGCTCACTGCAACCTCCACCTCCCCAATTCAAGCCATTCTCCTTCCTCAGCCTCCTGAGTAGCTGGGATTACAAGCACGTGCCACCACACCTGGCTAATTTTTTGTATTTTTAGTAGAGATGGGGTTTCACTATGTTGGCCAGGCTGGTCTTGAACTCCTGACCTCAGGTGATCCACCCGCCTCAGCCTCCCAAAGTGCTGGGATTACAGGTGTGAGCCGCCACACCTGGCCTGTATGGCATCTTGAGGCAATGCTCAGAACTTGGCCTGAAAGCAATTCACCTCCACCTGGAGTGTCTCCCCGACTCCGGTGTCTGCAGGTTGCAACCACTTGCAATCCCAGATGCTGCCACCAGGGGGTGCACAGCACCCGCTTGGAAGGTGGGCAGGGGCGGGCGGGGAGTAACTAGAGAGGGAGAGGTTAATGCCCAAGGGTCCCGCCCCTCTCAAGAGGCATGGGCGGTCTCAGCCCGGTCCACTCACCAGGTGTATATGAGCACAGCCAGGAGGGCTGTAAGGAGGACTGCCAGGAGGATAGACAGGATGGCAATGATGACCACGGTGCCTGGGCTCTGGGGGCCGGGGACAGCCTGAAGTGCCTGGGCTGAGGCGGTGATGGGGGGCCGCACAGGCGGGCAGGAAAATAAATTTTACCTGACGGGAAGGGGCCCTTGGGCAGAATCCAGACCAATCACACCACCACCACTCCCCGCCCCCGCCCCCCGCCGCCCCGCCTCCCCTACCACCCAGGCCTGGGGGAAGAGAGTGGCTGGGGGAGGGGCGCCTGCAAATTGCCGGACGGTCAACTGCCTCTGACTGGGTGGTGGGCTGACCTGTTCCTCCAGCCCATCCTCAGTCCTCAGGAGCCCCAGGCTCCATCCAGTCCCTCTGCCCGGCCCTCTGCCCCTACTGTTCGACCGGAGCCTCTGGCCCCTACCTTGCTGCAGGCGAGTGTCGCTGGACCACTTTGTCTCAGCCACGGGTCCTTCGTCATTCATCACCAGGAACTTCACCCTGAATGGGAGACCCAGCATTGGCCATGGGGGTCCCCCAGAGTCCTGAAACCATCAGGCCCTGGTGCCTGCAAGTCTGTCCCCTGGAGTCCCAGGCCCTAGGGAGAGAAGCCTGGGGAGGGAGCTGGGGACTAAAGGCCCAATAGAATGGGTTCGAATCTAGGGGTGACATTTCCAGCAGTGTGACGTTGGGAGTGTCCCTCCTCTCTGGGCTTCTGTGTCCTCATTTGGGAAAGGTAGGGGGCAGGTATTAGATCTCTCAGAACAGAACATGCGTGAATCAAGCATTTAGTGAGGGGAGACTGTCTGGATGGAGAGATGCCACCTGAGTGGTCCACACGGCCCATGGGGACTGAGGCTTGAGGTGGGGAGCCTTCTGCTCGAGAAAAGCAGGATAGGCCGGGCGCGGTGGCTCACGTCTGGAATCCCAGCACTTTGGGAGGCCAAGGTGGGCAGATCACTTGAAGCCAGGAGTTGAGACCAGCCTGGCCAACATGGCGAAACCCGGCCTCTACTAAAAATACAAAAATTAGTTGGGTGTGGTGTGAGATGCCTATAATTCCAGCTACTCGTTAGGCTGAGACTGGAGAATCGCTTGAACCCGGGAAGCAGAGGTTGCAGTGAGCCGAGATCATACCACTGTACTCCAGCCTGGGTCACAGAGCAAGAGTCTATCTCAAAAAAAAAAAAAAAAAAAGAAGAAGAAGAAGAAAAGAAACGGATAATTCATGTAATTCATGAAGGCCTCTCCAACCCCTGTCTGCTGCTTCCTCTTCCCTTTGGCCAAGCAGGAGCAGGGGACCCAGGCATCCTGCTGGGGCCCTGGTGAGCATCCTAGGAGCTGCCCCAGGCTCTGGCTTGGGTGCAGGCAGGAGCCAGGGCCTGGCAGAACCGCTCACCTGTAGGGGCCGGGTCCCGGGAGGGGATGGTTGCAGCCAATTTTTGTTGGTTGGCAGTGGGTATCATTGCCGACGCGGAGGACACGGAGCTGGCCTCTGGCCTGGCCACCCAGGTACAGCCCCCGGTTGGCCCTCAGTGTGAGATAGTAGCCCCTCTGGGAGAAGTTGGCAGGAGCCGGGACGTCCTGGTTTGACCGTGGGGCCGTGAAGCTCTGGGTGGCTAAGGGTGGCACTGTGGTTAGACAGTCACATAGCAGGATTCCACCCTCACCCCACCAGGCCTGACAGCCCTCCCCGGCCCCATCCCCTGCAGCACCTGCTCCCTGCATCTCCCCCCAACACACCCGCTACTGCCCTCAGGCCCGCAGGCCCATTTCACAGAGGGAAAACCGAGGCCCGGCCCCAGCAGCACCCACCATTGCTGAGGGCCACCACCAGCCAGATGGTATCCGAGTCAGAGATGTTGTGGCTGTGGAACTGGCCCAGAGGCTGCTCCAGCGTGAAGGTGGACTGGGTGAGCCTCCCCGCCAGGGTGTCGTTTGAGAGCTGGGGCACATAGTTGATGTGCTCTGGGGCAGCTGGAAGGGGAGGGCAGAGAGGAGAGGCCAAATGGGGCAACCAAGCCCCCAACAGCTCTGATCTCCCCCCCACCCAGATCCAGACTTAACATGGGAGCCCCAAATTAGGGGCACTTCCTGGGAGGTCGGGTCCGGTATGAATCAGGAAGCTTCTTCTCTGGCGACTCTATGCCCCATGGGCATGGGTAGGAGGCCTGAGTCCAGCCCCTGGCCCCTCTCTGAGGAGCCTACTGGGGGTGGGCACCGTGGGAGGTGTAGGACAATGGCGGCATGGGAGCCTCCACCCCGGCGGTAGGCACAGTTCTCCCGGGCCCGGCCATGTTGGGATGAAACTGGAATTTGGGGGCAGCCTGACCCTTGGCTGAACTCTGCTCCTGACATGCGCAGTGACCTCCAACTTAAGTCCCTCCAGCTCCACCCACATGGTCCAGGTTGTGCTGCTTGAGAGGAAGAGTAGCTTGGCAGGGGGCGGGAGGGTGGGGGCGGGGGGTGGGATGGCACGGGAAAGTCTGCTTGGCTGAGACTCCAGGCTGGGACACAGACTGCCCAGAGGGTCTGGGGTCTCTGAAGCCAGAACTTGGTTCCAAGTCTAGAATGTCCTCTCCTCCCCGCCCTGTTCTTTGCCACCTCCCACCATGGCTCCAAGGCATCTTCGCCTTCTGGACCAAGTCCCCCTCTCAGACTCCCATCGCCCCTCCCTGGGGAACGGTGGGGGACAAGGACAAGCTTCCCAGGTCCGTACGCCAGAGGGGACTCCGGATTGGCAACTTGGCCTGTGTCCAGCCTTGCGGGTTGGAGAGCTCAGACCTCCCCAACTGAGCCTCCCAGGCAGGAGCAGGACCACAGCGCCCCTCCTCTCCCCAACCCCAAATACAGGTCCGGAAGAAGCACAATGATGGACTGGGCTTCTAGGCAAGTCTCCAGCAGCTGCCCCTGTTCGGTTCAGTTCAGTTCAATTTGATTCATTTACGTTGAATTCAACTCAACTCCAAAGGTTCAGGCTAGAGTCTTCCTTGGGGGCGACTGTCGTGATTCCTTTCTTAGAGTTCTCAGTCCTATCTCTGCAGCCCAGGGCACTCTGTGTGCAGGAGGCACTTAATGTTTAGAAAGAGAAGTGGAGGCCGGGCGCAGTGGGTCATGCCTGTAATCCCAGCACATTGGGAAACCGAGACAGGCGGATCATGAGGTCATGAGTTCGAGACCAGCCTGGCCAATATGGTGAAATCCCGTCTCTACTAAAAATACGAAAAGTAGCCAGGCATAGTGGCTCATGGCTGTAATCTCAGCTACTCAGGAGACTGAGGCAGGAGAATCACTTGAACCCAGGAGGTGGAGGTTGTGGTGAGCCGAGATTGCGCCACTGCACTCCAGCCTGGGTGACAGGGCAAGACTCCATCAGAAAGAAAGGAAAGGAAAGGAACAGAAAAAGGAAAGGAAAGGAAGAGAAAGAAAGAGAAAGAGAAGTGGAGCAGGCAAAGACTAGGGGGGACGCAGAGATTGTAGGAATGTATCTCTCAACCTGTCCAGTTTTTCTTTTTCTTTTTTTTTTTTTTTTGAGACAGGGTCTTGCTCTTTGGCCCAGGCTGGAGTGCAGTGGCGCATTCATAATTCACTGCATGGGCTCAAGCCATCCTCCCGCCTCCATCTCCCAAGTAGCTGGGATTACAAGTGCACTCCACCACACCCAGCTAATTAAAAACAAAAATCTTTTTTAAAAATGGGGTCTTGTTATGTTGCCCAGGCTGGGCTTGCCAGAGCTTCCTGGGGACACGCATTGTCCTGGACGCCTAGAAACCTCTCCTCAGGGAAACAAAGGAGGCAGGAGCCACGCGTGAGAATTTGGAAACAAAGTGAGGTCTTGGGTCTGTCCTGCAGCCTGAGATGCAGTGGGTCCCTCCCGACCAACCCCCCGCTTACTCACCTATGCCTGTCCCAGGCTGGACATGGGTCAGTAGCAGCAACAGCGACATTAGCAGCTGGGACTGTCCCGCAGAGAGCCCCATGGCCGGGCCAAGCCTCCAGCTGTTGTCCATCTGTTCGTCTGTCTGCAGTGTCTGCAGCTCCAGAGGCTCCCTGGTCTGTAGTCTGTGCTGGGCTAGGGGAAGGTGTTCCTGGCATCTCCTGTTGCCCCTCCCAGGTACCCCCTCCTCTCAAACAACTGGTTGGACAGGTTTGGGGGCAGAATCTGCCGGCCCAGTGAATCTGGCATCGCCAGGGAGGGTCCGAAGAGAACAATCAGTTGCAAGACAAGCCTGGACTCCCCCACCCCACCCCAGGAGCGCCTGACCAGGGAGGGGCTGAGGAAGGAGGAGGCAGCCCCAGGATCCAAGCTGCCCCAGGGACTATCCCGCCAAGTCTGCCCCGTGGATCTCCTTGTCCAAACAGTCCCCAGTGTAGTGACTCTTCCTTTAGGACCTGAGGTGGGAGGATCACTTGAGCCTGGGAGGTTGAGGCTGCAGTGAGCCTAGATGGCACCATGGCACTCCAGCCTGGGTGACAGTGAGACCCTGTCTCAAAAAAACAAAACAAAACAAAACAAAACAAAACAAAACAAAAAAACCTGGGAAGAGTTGGTGTCTGTTTTTGGTTCGTAGAGAGTGCCGATCAAGGAAGTTCTCTGGAGTCTCATTAATTAATTAGTTAATTAATTATTATTATTATTGAGGCAGGGTCTCACTGTTGCCCAGGCTAGAATGCCATGGTGCTATCATAGCTCGCTGCAGCCTTGACCTCCCAGGCTCCAGGTTCTCAGATTCTCACGGCCCCGCTCTGGGGAAGGATGGGGGATGAAGACAAGCTTCCCAGCTTGGCCTGTGTCCAGCTTTGCTGCTCAGAGAGCTCAGATCCCCACCCTCAATTCACCCCTCTGCGTGGAAGGGAGTGACCCTCACTTTCTAGCACAGACAGGGAAGAGGGCTTGGCCAAGAGCAACCAGGAGGTCAGGGCAGGACTGGGGATTAGATCACGCCCAAATGCAAGCTCTGTGGCACTCCTGGTATGGCCCTGCTGTCCCCCTGCAGCCTGGCCCCGGGAGGGGGGCTCCCAGACCTCACACCCCCTCATCTTTTTATCCAGGGGACCTGCCCTCTCTCCCTCCTTCATCGCCAGCCTCTGCCAGGGCAGGGTAGTTCCTCTTCAAGACAGAAAATTACCAGATGGAAGGCCGGGCGTGGTGGCTTACGCCTGTAATCCCAGCATTTTGAGAGGCCGAGGTGGGTGGATCACCTGAGGTCGGGGGTTCGAGACCAGTCTGGCCAACATGGCGAAACCCTGTCTCTACTAAAAATACAAAATTAGCCAGACATGGTGACTTGTTCCTGTAATTCCAGCTACTCAGGAGGCTGAGGCAGGAGAACCACTTGAACTCGGGAGGCAGAGGTTGCAGAGAGCCGAGATCGCACCACTGCATTCCAGCCTGGGCAACAAGAGTGAAATGCCCTCTCAAATAAAATAAAATAAAATAAAATAAAATAAAATAAAATAAAATAAAAATAAAAATAAAAATAAAAATAATAAAAAAGATGAGATGGGCTCAGGGCAGGTAGACAGAGACCTGTGACCACCTCTCCCCTGGATCAGGGTACCAGCCCCCGTCAGCCCGACCTTCACACTCTAATTATGCCAGATGTATTCTTTCTGGGAAACCCAACAGATTATCACCTGTGGCCCCCATTTTTGGGTGAAGAGGGGGCATTCCCCGAAGGGGACATACCTCAGTTCCCCAAGGGGATTCAGAGGTTCACCTCAACTCACAAGAAAAACTTCTGGCAGGGCGTGGTGGCTCGCACCTGTAATCCCAGCACTTTGGGAGGCCGAGGCGGGCGGATCACCTGAGGTCAGGAGTTCGAGACCAGTCTGACCAACATGGAGAAACCCCGTCTCTACTAAAAATACAAAATTAGCCAGGCATGGTGGCATGCCTGTAATTCCAGCTACTCGGGAGGCTGAGGCAGGAGAATCGCTTGAACCTGGGAGGCGGAGGTTGTGGTGAGCCAAGATCACGCCATTACACTCCAGCCTGGGCAACAGGAATGAAACTCTGTCTCAAAAAAAAAAAAAGAAAGAAAGAAAAGAAAGAAAGAAAGAAGGCCGGGCGCGGTGGCTCAAGCCTGTAATCCCAGCACTTTGGGAGGCCGAGACGGGCGGATCCCGAGGTGAGGAGATCAAGACCATCCTGGCTAACACGGTGAAACCCCGTCTCTACTAAAAAATACAAAAAACTAGCCGGGCGAGGTGGCAGGCGCCTGTAGTCCCAGCTACTCAGGAGGCTGAGGCAGGAGAATGGCGTAAACTCGGGCGGCGGAGCTTGCAGTGAGCTGAGATCCGGCCACTGCACTCCAGCTTGGGCGACAGAGCGAGACTCCGTCTCAAAAAAAAAAAAAAAAAAAAAAAAGAAAAGAAAAGAAAGAAAGAAAGAAAAAGAAAAACTTCTGGAAGGGACATCTGTCTTGAGCAGGACAGGAAAGAAACGTGAAGTGCGTTGAAGTGGGAAGACATTGAGAACCATTTGCCACCAGGTAAGGAAATTCAAGATCCTCCCAATCGGGGTCCCTCACTCCCTGCTCCTTCACACCTCTGAGCCTTTGCCTGTGCTGTTCCCCTGCCTGGAACCACCTCCTCCCCAGAGAGAAAACTCCTACTGCTACTTCAAAACCCAGTTCAGATATCACCTCCTCTTGTAATGTCTTCCCAGACAGTCTCTCCAGGCTGACCACCAAACAGAGTGACTCCCTTCTTTCTCAGCACTGCCATGGCACTTCGTATGGACCAGTGTCCCTCCCGCTGTTTAATGACCAGTGAGCCATGCACCTGCCACCCTCCTGGGGCCCAGCCTGTGCTTGGGCAGATGGGAGGCTGTCTTTGTTCACTCAGGCAGCGATAACAAAACACCAGAGACTGAGTGGCTTAAAAACAACAGACATTTCCTTCTCACAATTGTAGAGGCAGAGAAGTCTAAGATCAAGATATGAGAGGAGGCCAGGCATGGTGGCTCGTACCTGTATTCCCAGCACTTTGGGAGGCCGAGGTGGGAGGATCACATGAGGCCAGGAGTTCAAGACCAGCCTGGGAAACATAGCCAGACTCCGTCTCTACAAAAAAATTAAAAATTAGACCGGCATGGTGGCTTACTCCTGTAATCCCAGCACTTTGGGAGGCCAAGGTGGGAGGATCACTTGAGGTCAGACATTCGAGACCAGCCTGGCCAACATGGTAAAACTCCGTCTCTACTAACAATACAAGAGTTAGTAGGGCATGGGGGCATGTGCCTATAATTCCAGACTTGGGAGGTTGAGGCACAAGAATAGCTTGGACCCGGGAGGGAGAGGCTGTAGTGAAGCAAGATCACACCACTGGTCTCCAGCCTGGGTGAGAAAGTGAGACTTCATTTAAAAAAAAATAAACAAAAACCTAGGAAGAGTTGGTGTCTGTTTTTGGTTCATAGAGAGTGCCTTCTAGCTGTGTCCTCACATGGTGGAAGGGTCAAGGAAACTCTCTGGGGTCTCTTTTGCTTATTATATTATTATTATTTTTTGAGACAGGTCTCACTCTGTTGCCCAGGCTGGAGTGCAATGGTGTGATCTCAGCTCACTGCAACCTCCACCTCCCGCGTTCAAGTGATTCTCCTGCCTCAGCCTTCCGAGTAGCTGGGATTACAGGAGTGCACAACCACTCCTGGTTAATTTTTGTATTTTTCGTAGAGACGGGGTTTTGCCATGTTAGCCAGGTTGGTCTTGAACCCCTGACCTCACGTGAGCCGCCTGCCTCGGCCTCCCAAAGTGCTGAAATTACATGCATGAGCCACTGTGCCCGGCTGCCCAGCTAATTTTGTAACTTTTTGTAGAAACAGAATCTTACTGTGTTGCCCAGGCTGGTCTCAAACTCCTAGGCTCAAGTGATCCTCCCACCTCGGCCTCCTAAGATGCTGGGATTCCAGGTGTGAGCCACCATGCCCGGCCCATATAATACAGGTTTCCCCTCTCTCACTCCCTTTTGAAAGGCAGTTGAAAGCAGACATCAGAACGTGGGAAGAGCTTATTTCCCCTTCTTGAAACACGTTCTTGCTCATAGACGTAGCCTCTCCTTGAGTCCCCAGAGATGGGCAGGGCAGGTGTTACGACTAATCTCATTATACGGATGAGAAGAAACCTGGGGCCTGGCAGGCAGAGAAACTTCCTGCAGTCCCAGGGCAGGTCAGTGGCAGGGCTGGGACCCAACCCCCCAGGTCTCCTGTACCCAGGGAGAACTCCCTCTTTGCCTTATTTATTTATTTATTTATTTATTTATTTATTTATTTAAGACGGAGTCTCGGTCTGTCGCCCAGGCTGGAGTGCAGTGGCGCGATCTCAGCTCACTGCAGCTTCTGCCTCTGGGGTTCCAGCGATTCTCCTGCCTCAGCCTCCCAGGTAGCTGGGACTACAGGCACACCCACCACCATGCCCAGCTAATTTTTGTATTTTTCAGTAGAGACAGGGTTTCACCATGTTGGCCAGGCTGGTCACTCCTGACCTCAGGTCATCCACCCGCCTCGACCTCCCAAAGTGCTGGGATTACAGGCCCCTCACCTTTTTTTTTTTTTTGAGACTGAATCTCACTCTGTCACCCAGACTGCAGTGCAGTGGTGCCATCATAGCTCACTGCAATCTCTGTCTCCTGGGCTCAAATTATGCTCCTGCCTCAGCCTCCTGAATAGCAGAGACTACATGTGTGCACCACCATGCCTGGCTCATTTTAAAATTTTTTGTAGGGATGAGGTCTCACTATGTTGCCCAGGCTGGTCTTGAACTCCTGGGCTCAAGTGATCTTCCTGTCTCAGCTTCCCAAAGTGCTGGGATTACAGGTGTGAGCCACTGCACCTGCCCTTGAATGGATTTTAAAAACCCACCTAGGCTGGGCGTGGTGGTGCGTGTCTGTAGTTCCAGTGCTTTGAGAGGCTGAAGCCGGAGGATCACATGAGGCCAGGAGTCTAAGGCTGCGGTAAACCATGATCACACCACTGCACTCCATCCTGGGCGACAGAATGAGACCCTGTCTCTAAACTAATAATAACAATAATTTTTAAAAATGTTAAAATCGACATAGAATTTATTTTTGGTGTGATGTGTGATTCAAATTATTTTTTTCTCAAGTTAGCCTGTTATTCAAACACTAAAATATTGAAAATGCGTCCTAGGCTGGGTGCAGTGGCTCGCACCAGCACTTTGGGAAGCCAAGGCAGGCAGATCACCTGAGGTTGGGAGTTCAAGACCAGCCTGACCAACATGGAGAATAATAATAAGCCAAGATCGTGCCATTGTACTCCAGCCTGGGCAACGAGAGTGAAACTCTGTCTCAAAAAAAAAAAAGAAAGAAAGAATAAAGAGAAGGAAAGAAGGAAGAAAGAAAGGAAGAAAGAAAGAAAGAAGGAAGGAAGGAAGGAAGGAAGGAAGGAAGGAAGGAAGGAAGGAAGGAAGGAAAGAAAGAAACATGTATCCTTTCCCTATTTGAATTGAAAT